TGAGTGGCGGAGGGGGCGGTGGGTCAGAGGGCAGGGCTGTGGGGGAGAGGGGGCCGTGGGTCACAGACAGGGCCTGGCTGCGGGGCTGGGCCGTGGGGCAGGAGGGGGGCTCTGTGCCTGAGGAGAGACTGCGGCAGTAGCTCGGGCTTGTGTCCCTGCTGGCTGCTCCCTTGCCGGAGAGGGGCTGGGGGGCGTTTGCTGTGGCGTGGAAAAGGAAGGCGGTGGTCGAGGACGGGTGCAGGGTCGTCAGTCCCCCGGTGGCTGAGCTGCTCTCGGGCAGAGGCAGGAGGGCTGGCCCGTGGCCTGCCGCGGCGCCGGGAGCGCTGCTGTGGGGCTCCTCAGCCTGGACATCTCCCCGTGGGCGCTTTGAGCTGCTCCCACGGAGGGCTCGGAGCCCCAGCAGCTCCGTGTATCTGTCAGCCGCTGTTGGATGCGCAGCTTTCGGCGCTCTGAGCCTGTCCGGTTGATCCACTTCGTTGTGTGTGCGAGAGCAGAAGGGTGCTGGCGGCAGTCAAGGGTTGTGTTTGGATTTGGCGGATCAGGGGAGGTAAAGGCAGGTGCCTGGTTTTTCAGACTGTGACAGCTGATATCTCCTGGACAGAGATCGTCCTGCTTTGCCAAGCTGTGGCAGCATAAGGAAATGTGCAGGTTTGTCCGGATAATTGCAGAGTGCATGGCCATGTTGGAGCTTGTGGCGGCTTAGGCTCTGCTGCCAATGGCGTCGGGCTCAGCGGCACTGAGGATGGATTTAATGCTTCCTGGGAAGGGGATGACTCCAAGGGGTAGCGGGAAGATTTTGTGCTGGAGCTGCTGGTTACTTCTTCTTTCAGCAGAGAGTGAAGTGAAGTGACCACAAGCCAGGCAGAGGCTGGGGAAACCTTGGCTCCCGCCTCAGCGTTTGGGTGAGGGGAGAGACCGAGTCAGAAGCTGAGGGTGTCTCATTCCCTCATGTTTCCAGGGCCTGGTGAATCCAGTGCTGGGCCCAGGGCTGCCTTCCTGGGCTCTCTGAATCATATGGCTTGCACCAGCGCAGACGCATGCTGCGAGCTTGACTGTTGGAAAATGTTGACGAGCTGAGCCCAGATGCTTTTAACTTCCCCTGCCCTGTTGCAATCCCTTTTCAGGGAAGGAGCGAGCAGGAAGCGGTCTCGCTCTGTGCAGTGTTGCGGTGCCTCTTTGTGCTCTCCCTCCTTGTTCTGAGCCCTGCTTTGGTGCTCCTGTCCTGCTGCCCTGGCTCTCTTCTGCCCTTCTGGCTGCAGGGCTGGGAGCCAGAGTTCACAGGAAAGCGTCCTTCACCCTGTTTCTTTTGTATATGAATCCAAGGCTACATCTGCTCTTGAAGAGATGGAAGGTGCCTCAAGGATCTGCCCTGAGCTGGATGTAGCTCTTTTTTACCACTCCTGGGGAGTGGGGGCAGCTGAGGCTGGCTGGGTTCAGTTCCTGCTCTGCAAGCCAAGCAGCGAAGCCAAAACACAAGTCCCAGACTGGCTGGGCCTGGCACTGTACAGATCATCCCTGAAGGTCGCCAGGCATGTGGATCAATGTGCAGCCTCCCTCTGCGCTCCCTGGCTGTGGTGGCACCATTCCTTGTTTGTGTCTGTCGCCGCAGGGGAGCGGGGCACCATGATTCTGCAGGCGAGAGGAGTGACCAGCATTACCGCTTCCCGTTTCGGGGCCTGCTCGCCTGGCAGCATTTTTATATCCTCCTGGTGTGCAGGGTGCTAAGCCCCGAGTCGTGTGTAGAGGGGTTTAGCACACAGGGACGATGGGGACATCCCTGCTGTGAGGCTGGCAGGCCTCCCTGCGCTGCAGCACCTTGGGTCTTGGCTGTGGGCAGAGAAGGGCTCCTCCAACCTGGGGCATATGGTCCTGCCCCTGTATTGGTACTGCGCACACTGCTGGCTTGCCATCACCCCGGCCTCCGGGCTGCGACTCTGGGGGGAAGGGAACAGCAGGACACATGCAATGGCCTCTTCGCTGCTTTCAAGCATTTCAGAAGTCTCCCACTTCCTCTTTTTCCAGCCGTATGCAGGGTCGGTGTCACACAGCTGCTGGCTCTAGTCAGCAATGGTAAAGAGCTGTCCCTTCACCCTCTTTATCTGGTGTGGAGCAGACAGTGCCATGCTGCCTGCGCTTATCTGTTCCTTAGGGCCAGGTCTCTCTCTTTTTCAGCTGTGCGCTGCAAGTCCTGCAAAGAGCGAGTGTCTCTTCTGGTCTGCAGCCGTGTTTCCCGCTCATGAGCTCAGAGCAAGGCAGGGCTTCAGCGTGAGCACCTCTGTGTCCGCTCTGGCTGCGCGGGGCTGCTGGGTGTGACTCCCAGCTGCGATTCAGCCTGGGAGAGGAGCACTTGGGGTACAGCAGGGCGAGCTGCCCTTGTAATCCCTCCCTGGAAAGGAAGGCCTTTTCTGGGTTTCTCAGGGCTGCACTTTGGTGTCTCCTGCCTGCGTTGGAGTGCAAATTTCTCTAGAAATGACTAACCTTGGGGAAACACTGAGGACAGCAGGCACGTCTTGAACACCCACAGCCTTGGAAAGGGGGGTGCTGGGGGGCAGCTGCAGCTTCTGGTGTTGATGGACTCCTGGGGAGCGGCACGGACCCTGGTGGGATGGTGACAGAGCAGCATGTAATGGTCAGTCAGGGCACAGCCTCACACCTCTCGCCTCCCCTGTGAGAGAGAAGAGCTCACAGCTGGTCACCCGGTGCCATGGCTCTCCACTGGGGCTGAGCCATTGGGTGATGCGGATGGAGACTGTGCTGGGGCACAGGGCTCCCTTCAGCCCAGCATGGCCTGTGGGTGCTCAGCAGGGTCAGGGGACAGAAAATGGGTGCGACAACCACAGCAATCCTCTTATCAGTGAAGACTGAGATGGGATCTGGGAGTATCACGGGTCTGGACTGTCTCTGTCCTGTGCTGATGTGGGAATGCTGGAGTCGCTGGGGCTGGACTTTGGTGGGGCACCCTGTCCCACAGCTCTGCACACCTGAGCCAGTCTTCCCAGTAACCCTCCTGCATGCTGTGGTGTGCTCCTGGGCCTCTGCCCCAGGGCTCTGCAGGTGGGGGAGGAAACGGCAGCGCCAGGTGAGTAGCTGGTGCCTGTCTGAAGGTTCCCATGTCACTCTTGCTTTCCAGGGATCTGCTACACAATATTTGACCTGGGCTTCCGCTTCGATGTGGCCTGGTGAGTTCCCTGTAAATATCGGCATCCTCCCTGCCGAGCACAGGGCTGTGTGAGGAGGTGGTCAGTTGGCAGTGCCTGGCAGGGAACACCGCTTGCTTTTGAGCGACAGGCAGTGGTCACTGCATCACAGGGGAACAAGAGCTACAGCATGCCTTGTGAGGTGGGATAGATGCAGCCCACGTGTATGTGTGGCTGGCTCCATTTAGAGTCCTGGTGCAGCCATCACTGCCCTTCCCACCTCTGTCCCAGCCTACTCCCTCTCCCAGCAGCCTCCCAGCCCAGGCTTCCCCTTCACAGTGAGGAGTTGGGAGGAAGGTCTCAGTCCATGCGGGTGAGGGTCCTGGGTCGCTGGCTGGCAGAGAAAGGCTCTTGTGTCCCACTGTCTGGCAGTGCCCAGCCCATCTCAGTCTGTGTGATTGGGGGGGGGGTGTTACCTGTTGTGGGACTGTGCACCATATCTAGAGGGGCTCAGCCTGTGTGCTAACTCAGGGCACTTCTTCCTCTCCAGGTTCCTGACAGAGACCTCGCCCTTTATGTGGTCCAACCTGGGCATTGGCCTGGCCATCTCCCTGTCTGTGGTGGGAGCTGCTTGGTGAGTGGGGCTGGCTTTTCAGCAGGCTCCTGCTGTCCCACCTCAGTAGTTGCTTATATACTGCAGTTTCCCATGGCAGGGCAGGGGCAGAACTGCATATACACGCAGGGGTGTGGGGCAGGGTGGGTCACTGCAGCAGTGGGGCCAGGTTGCTGGGCTCCTGGGGGGTCTGGGCAGACCACCTCGTGGGCTGCAATGGCAGTGGAAGAGCAGGGACATCCCTGGCTCTCTGGAAGCCGTGCCCCTGAGCCCAGGCTGTGCAGTGGTGGCTCTTGTGCCCCAGCAGTTCTGCTGGTGAAGGTGGTGAAGCTTTGGAGCACTTGTACCCTGGGGGTGGACAGGCCAAGTCCGCAGTGTCCCCGAGATGCGTGCCCGATTCTTTGCTCAGCTGGAAGATCCTGGTTTCCCTATTGAATCCTTCAGCGAGTGCCAGACCCTCCACCAACCACCCTTGTCTGCCACAGGGGGATTTACATCACAGGCTCCAGCATCATCGGTGGTGGAGTCAAAGCCCCTCGGATCAAAACCAAGAACCTGGTCAGGTAAGCTCAGACCTGGGGTTAGTGCTCATGCCACGCCGGAGCGGGGCAGGTCCCAGCCCAGTGCAGAGGCTCCTGTCCTATCTCTAGCTGGGTGCTGC